GGGTGGGTGCCGTAGGGAGGGGGTGGAATCTCCATCCCTAGAGGGGTTTAAGTCCCAGCTTGACCAAGCCCTGGCTGGGCTGATGGAGCTGAGGCTGGTCCTGCTTTGGGCAGGGGGCTGGACTCGGTGCCTCCTGAGGGCTCTTCCCGCCCTGGGATCCTCTGACTACGTCTACACGGCGGCACCCTCCCGAAATAGCTTTTCTGGTCTGACGAGCCAGCCCGTTACAGGGGAATAAAATGGGCTCTTTAGTCTGAGGACCCTGCAAAGCTCGTTGCCCGAGGGGCAGGGGACGGGTCGGGCTAGCGCCTGGTTTCCAAACGTGGGGAGCCAGCCCCGGGGGTGAAATAGCCTATTTCAAAAGCACGTCGAACTACGCGACGCACGTCGCAGCGCGCAAATGGCGCGGCTGAGTTCCAGGGGAGGGTGCTGGGTGGGCACCCCCCTGTGAGCCCCCCCTTGACTCTCCAGCTGTGCAATGGGGAGAGGGCGGCTAGTGAGGGATCTCCATGCCCTGTGAGGGGGGCCCTGAGGACAGAGGGCGACAGGAGGGGAGGGGCACAGAGAGCAGCTCCACACGGGGGCCAGGTCGGGAGGGCGCTGGCAGGGAATCGCCTCCGGCCCTTTGCAGGAGCCAAAACTGCTCCAACAGCGACCCCTGGTGAAGGGATTTCAGGGAGCCCAAGGGCTGGGGAGGGCCCCCCGCCCCCTCCCCCTCCCCCGGTCGGACACGCGCTGTTTGCTGGGCTCCTGGCCCACGTCCAGGCGTTGTCGCTCAGGCCACAGCATGCGGACACGTCCACCCCCCGGTGGTGTCGCCCAAACCCTGCCAAGCAGCCTCGCCCGGCCCGGACAGCCAGGGGCACGCGGGGTCCTGGTCTCCACTACAGACCTCCCTGGAGTAACTGCATGGCCCAGGGCTGGTGTCCAGACCCCGAGCAACATCGTTCTGCAGCCCCCCGGGCAGACAGTGCCGCGGTGACGCCGGAAGTTCGCCGGGAGAGCACCGAGTGCCGCCCACGCAGCGCGTGAAGAGCCAGCGCGCCCCAAATCCAAAACGATCCCGCTCCGCTGCGGGCTCCGGCGGCGTTTGCAATGGGGCTTCTGTGGCGGTGGCCCCGGGGGCCCCGTATAAATGGGCATCACGCCGCCCTCGGAGGCAAAGGGCCGGGGCGGGCGGATCATTTCACAAGGCAGAAAGTGGGGAAGGGGTGTCTGATCATAGTGCGCAGCAGGGGGGAGAAACGCTTTCCTGGGCGGCTCCCCTGTGAACACCCAGAGACCCGAAAGGGCTGAGAGAGCAGGAGACGGGGCGAGGGCAGTCACGGATTTCCAGCCTGGCCACTGACCTGCCGGCAAAGCCACGTCCCTTCTCTGCCCATTTCCTCTCCTGGCTGTTTGTCCAGTGAGTCAGCAAGCCCCTGGGGGCTGAGGCTACGTCTAGAAGAGATTGTCTGAAAAAACGTCTTCCGACAGAGAGCGTCCACACTGCCAAAGTGCATCGAAAAACCCATCTGCTTTTTGGACAGAGAGCGCCAAAGTGCATCGAAAAAGCCATCTGCTTTTTGGACAGAGAGCAGCCGCACTGAACGGCATGTCGGCTGAGCCTGCTACGGGCCGATGGCCACCAGGGCACCTGTGGTTTTTCCTCTTTCCTCTTCTTCCCAAAGAACTCCCTCCTCCCCGGCCACACACGCCTGTTTGTGAAAGCTCTTTGGAAAAGGCGTCGTCCTCGTGGAATTAGGGTTCCCAATGCTGGGAAAACCCCCCTGTTCTCTCGCTTTTCTTGCGGAAGAACGCGCTTGCAGTGTGGACGTTCGGCAAGTACAGACGTGCCCTTACGCAGCGCCTGGCGGGGAGGGGGTCCAGAGAGCAAGTGTGAAAAATCAGGAGGGAGGGGGCAGTAGGCAACCTGTGTAAGACAAAGCCCCAAATATCTGGACAGTCCCTAAAAATCCGGGCCCCTGGCCAGCTTCCCATCGGGGCCTCTAGCTGCTCTCACCGTACCAATACCGAGAGCCAAGAAACGTTTTCTTCCTGGTCAGAAGTTGAACCTGCGACGCGTGAACGCCGAGGCATCGATTCTGGGGGAGAGTCACCGTCTTCTCCAGCGCTCGCAGGGGAACCCCACGGCTATCTGGACAGTCCCTAAAAATCCGGGCCCCTGGCCAGCTTCCCATCGGGGCCTCTAGCTGCTCTCACCGTACCAATACCGAGAGCCAAGAAACGTTTTCTTCCTGGTCAGAAGTTGAACCTGCGACGCGTGAACGCCGAGGCATCGATTCTGGGGGAGAGTCACCGTCTTCTCCAGCGCTCGCAGGGGAACCCCACGGCCTGACGCAGACGGAATTCACCCCTTTCCCAGCCCCAGCTGCCTTGCCCCTTCCTGCAGACGGGCGGCAGCAGAGGTCCTCTCCAGCCGCGGCGCTCA